GTAGATTTGTAGTGACACAGTTAAATGTGTGAGGAGAGAGAGAGAGAGAGAGAGAGAGAGAGAGAGAGAGAGAGAGAAAAGACAAAAACTATTGGATAAAATTTGGAGACAACTATTCTTTCATCAAGGCACTTGAAAAGTCAACCTTTGTGGACAAGAGGAGAAACATGACTTGGATTAAAGTACTGTTGGAAAAAACATATGTAATGGGCAAAACTGTCTTTAACTAAATACATATTCCTGAATGGAACATTCAATATTGTAAAAACATGTATATATATTTTATGCAATTCTAATAAAAATTTCCATCAATTCTTTTTTGGAACCTGGAAAATTATGACGTTTATCTGAGCAAATAAGTATGCAAAATTGCTGCGATATTTGCTCTGCTAAAAAGAGGCATAATGAGGGGCTAGGGTTGTGGCTCTGTGGTAGAGTGCTTGCCTAGCAAGTATGTGGTACTGGGTTTGATTCTCAGCACTGTGTATAAATAAAGTCCATTGACAAGTAAAAAAAACAATTTTTTAAAAAGAGGCATAAGAGTCAGATGCTTTCCCAAATATCAAAATGCATTCTATCAAGAAACAGTAATTAAAAACATGTGAGACTATTGTAAGACTAGTTCATTGTTTTAATCTTTGAAGCATAATAATTTATACATAGGTCATTCACATATAGGAACTTAGTATATTGTAAAAATAATTCAAATCAGTAGACTAAGGATGCTGAACTAAAGAASTGTCCAATTTGAAAAAAGATTATGTCAGCTCTATCTCATTATTAAAAAGATAGAATATTTTAAATTACTAGAAGTATAAAAATTTAGTTTTAAGATGAGGAATGTTTTTGTAAGCATGATGGAAAAACCTAGAACTATAAAGGAAAGATAGTAAATTAAACCATATAAAAATGGAAGATCCCTGTAGAGTAAAATACACCAAAAGAGATACACAGTAATGAGAAAAATACCTGCAATGAATATGACAAAAGGTTAATATATATCCGTAATCTACAAATAATCCCTTCAYATCACGACTAAATAGATGAACTGGCCAACAAACAACAGAAAGACAAATCAGAAAAAGGAACTAAAAAAACGCCAATAAATGCCTGATATCATTGCCTTCAGCCCACCAATACATACATATAAATTAATGATATACCATCACCTAAGATTGGCAAAGATTAAAGATATCCATTGTTGGCAAGGGCATACAGAAATGAGCACTGTAATACATGTTATTGGCAATAAAAAAAAGTAATAGAATTTTTAACCTTTTTGGAGTATAGTTTGCCAATTTTTAACACAATTTAGAATATGAGCTCTAGCAATTCTATTTCTAGAAATATTTCCTAAAGAATTACATATGTATAAGAGTGTTCTTACTGCATTGCTTATAAAAAGCTCAAAATCAGAAACAATGCAAATGTCCCATTAGGTGAGAAGAAATTAAATTAAAACACATCCACAGAAGTGATTATTACTCTATTGGCTAACTACTGTTGCATAACAAAATTACCCCAAAACTTAGTGGTACAAAACAACAGTACACATTTATTATCCTGTTTCTGTGGTAGATATTTGAATAACACAGGCAGTTCTGATGTCAGCAAAAGGGTGACCTGGAGCTGGCTGATCTTCTTCCAAGATGGCTCACTCACTCCATGGATGGCTAGTTTGGTGGCTAACAGCCAGTTGCAGCCCACCTGGCTTTCTCTACAGGCTATTGGAGTGTGCTCAAAAGGTATCCTCCCTAAGTAAGTAATCCAAGAGAGGCTAAGGCTGAAACTGGAAGGTCTTTTATAACTTAGCCTCAGAAGTCCCAAGCTATCATTTCCACAGTATTCTCCTAATCACAAAGAACCACCATGATTCATTGAGACAGGAGTACACAAGGGTATGAATACCAGGCAGCAAGGATCACTTAAGTTGACATCTAAAGTTGCCAGGTAAAATGAGTGCAAGAATCACTTATATAAAGTCATGGGCAAGACTTTGAAAAATTTATATGAAAATGAAGACAAACAAATGGAGCCTGATTTTGACAGTCCTTGCAAACTTTGTTATGGAGCTTAATAATTAAAATAATAAGCCAACAAGGGATATCTATTTTTGTATGACCACTCATTAGATGGAGGGTGGATTKAAAGGACAAGGACAAAGGACAGGAATGGAGGTAAGGAAATAAAAATTTTACTGAAATGATCCAGGTAAGAAATAGTAGATTCAGGTGGTGGCAACAGAAATGAAGTGGGCAAGTTCTCAGATATTTAGGAGACAGACAACACAGGAGTCAGTATTTGATTGGATAATACAGATTACACAACAGGGAGGAATCAAGGCTGGTTCCTATGTTTTGTATGTGAGCAGTTAAGTGAACAAGGCACACAGAAGAAAAACCAGGCTTTGGGGATTTTAAAAAGTTTGCACATGTTAAGTTTGAGGTGTTTGCATACACAAATGTCCAACAGGCAGTGGACATATGGGACTTGAACATCAGGAAATATATCTAGACATTTAAAAAATCGTGTTTTTTAAATCAGAAGATCAGTAAATATTGGAGCCATGGTTCCCCCCGCCAAAAAAAAAAAAATATATATATATATTTTTTTTTTTTTTTAAGAGGATAAGAATGCACAGGAGACTGAAAAAGAATACCAGAAAGGTAAATGAAGGAACACCTGGACAGTCTATTGTTGCAGAAGGCAGGAATGATCAAGAGTGTTCATACTTCTAAGTCAAGCAACTTAACACTGAACATCATACACCAGAAAAGAAAGACACCAACAGGAGAGCTCTCACCCTTGGTCCCAAGGCAAGACACTTCTATGGGAGGGATGTGATGAACAGTATTAATGTTTTCTGGTGCAGTGCTTCTCAAAGTGTGATGTATAATCACCTGGAGATCATATTAAAATATAGCTTCTGATTTAATACCTCTTGGGCAGGGCCTGAGATCTTGAATTTCTAAGTTCCCAGGTGATGGCCATGCTGCCAATCCAGACCATATATTGAGTAGCAAGGTTCTGGTGTGGTTCTTGAAGTAAAAATCATCTGGAGAACTTCAAATCAGACTAGTGGGTGGCAACTCTTACTGAGACTAATTCAATAGGTATGGAGGACCTGATAATGTGCATTTCTTACAAGTTCCCAGGTGATGGTGCTAGTGATGCAGCAGGTCCCCATACCACACTTAAAAATTGCAAAACTCAACTATTGCTCAACAGAGCAGAAAAAATCTAGGACTTCCAAACACAGTGCAAACAATCAGTATACTCATGTACCACTGCAGTCAGTCTTATCCATTCCAGAGCTTATGCCTTTTATGGTCCCTCCCTAACTCCTTGCTCATATAGCCAGAGGTGGGAGAGGGCCTATACTCATCATGCATTAGCCCCAGAGTCACTGTATTAAGACACACAATTATTCATCCCCAAGGCTAACTCTCAGCAAAGCGGTGGGGGAGTTCTACTTCTTATTAAAGTCTTAAAGCTTTATCTTGCTTAGTAAAGCCATTTCATAATATTAAAATAAACAGTAGCTGATAAGTAGTACTTCCTTGCTATTTCACAAGTCACATTTTCCCCCAGAGTGAGACAATTTAAAATTAAAAAAAAAAAAAACTTACTGAGTACAATAAGGGAAAATGCTAATTAAAGAGGAATCAATTCACTTATGTACTTAACAAATATATTTTAGGTAAGGAATCAATATTAAAAATTATAAATATGCAGTTCCTTCCCTCAAGTCCATAGGAGAGAGAACCCAACAACCATTAAGAAATACAACAAATACCATCTGAAAAAAAAAAGTTGGCATCATTTTTATTAAAGCAACGCAGCAAATATCTGGACCATTCACGGAGTGTGCTTGTTATGAATAGCAATGGAAACAAAAAGGAGAAAAATATCGAAGAGGCAGGGGTTACTAGAAAAGGTTTCCTGGATGCAGTAATTTCGTGTTGGAATTAGGCATTAGACGGATGAGCCGCCTTTTCACAGGTGAAGGTCCCAAATGGCAATTCGTCATCAAAATTCAATTAACATCTACTTTGAGTATGTGCTAAGTAAAAGGTTTTACCTACGGGTTTTCGCAATGTAATTACTAAAGATATCTATCTAGGTATAATAAGCACAGTAGGTCTCCTCAAAAAAAGACTTAAAATCCAGTTTAGTGATGGAATAACATACCAGATTCAACACTGCAGGACCATATTCTGGAAGAAAAAACTGACAAAACAGTGCCCGGAGCACCAGCACTACAGGAGCATCGTAGGAGATGCAAAAGCTTTTTCCGCGGGTACTCTCAAAGGCAGTCAGTAACTAACATCCAAGCCCAAATCAGCAAAAATCGGAGGGTTGGGGCGTCAGGACCCGGGGAGGGGCGCGGCAGTCCTTGCAACGTGGGAAGCCGGGACTTGTCCAAGTGACCTGACTGCTCAATCCGTCATACCTTCCCTTACGAACATCGCATCCGGCAGGACATGGGCACAGGAGGGTAAAGGTAGGAAGAAAGTTTGGGGGAGGGGGGGGTTGTTTTGTTTCGTTTTAAATAGCCCACTCCGCAAACCCAGCCTTGATGGCTCCCAGGCCCAAACAGGGGCCGAAGTGGGGCCGCGGCTCTCCATCGTCGGACCTGGAGCGACCCTTCCCCAGAGCGACCGAGTCCCTCCTCCCCTCAACCGCACCTCTCGCTCCAGCCCCGGGTGACGGACGTCGGCATAAGCGAACTAATTTCTACCACCCGCTAACCGCCGGGATTGTCCCGCAGCTCCGCTGGCGGGCTCTTCCCAGGACTGCCAACAGGCTGGGCGGGACCAGCGAGCGGAAGTTCGCGCTTCCTTCCGGCCGGAGCCGCACGAGACGGGGCGTGGCGGCGCGGGAGGGGGTGGAGCCTCCCGTTAACAGGCAGCTTCCGGCACCTATGGGTGCAGTCGTGGCGGACCGGCCTCCCCGGCGCGCCCCTTTCCCGGGGCTGCCAACGCCCCCCGGCCCCCTATTCCACCGTGTTGCACAAAGCTCCGCTGCTGCCCAGTCCTTCCTGTCCCTGCCGCGCGCTGCGGTCCGTAGTGAGGCCCCGCCTCCGCGGCCCTCGGCGCCGCCTAGCCTGGCCCGCATCCTACCCCACCGGAGCCGCGCGTSAGGACGGCTGAGACCGCAGGTCTGTGGCTGCGTGTCGGGCCGCGAGGGAACACGCGGGCGCCAGGCTTTCGCGGAGGGCCCCAGAGGTCTCSCGGGGCGGGCGGGTGCCTGCTGCGTCCTGCCTGGTGGCGTCTCGCGGAACCCGCGGCGACGACCGAAAGGCTCTCGCGCGGCCCCGCCCCGTCGCGAGCGCAGTCGGGGAGGCGCGGCCGTGGCACTCTGGGCGTCCGGAGGGGACCGAGCACGCGAATGTCGGGCGGAAATGCGGGGTCAGGGGCAGAAACTCCGGGGAGAGCAACTTTGCGGAGCTACCTCTCGGCAGTTGGCCGCTCGGGCGGAGGGAGGGCGTGGGCTCGATTCTCCGCGACCACTCGCCGTCCTGGTGAGCTGGAGCAAAGCGCCTGAACTTCAGCAGCCGGCCTCTCCCCGGTTATCTCTCAGATGGGGACGCCAGGTGATGTTGGGGTGTGGTGCGCAGGTAAGCGGAACACAGAGCCCTGCCGCGCCMAGAGGATGCGCACTGCTGTACTAGTCATTCCCACTAATAAAGAATTGCTAGCAGATCCTTTTTGCATACGTTTAAAATGGCATTCTGTTTCGTTTGCTGGAGGAACTTTTGTTTCATAGTAAGTGAAACTACCGCAGTCTAGACACATAATTAGCTTTCTTAGTATTTGTAGACTCTCTGACTTAATATTATTAGAATGTGTACACTGTTGTCTTTAAAACTCCTCTCCACCTTAGAGAGGGCATGGTTCTAGGATTAGGCCATCTGGGGGAATAAGCTCATTTCTGGCTGTAGGACATTGCTATACTCCTTTCTCACTGCTCCAGCTTCAGTCTCCCGTGCTTGAAGGCAAAGAACTTAAGTCTGTTTTCCTTCTGACGATTTTTTTGAATGAATGAATAAATGAATTGTATCCTATTGGTTGGATTGTTACATAGAGTAAGCTGTTTGCCTTTAGGAATTAATAAACTGTTTAAACAATCATGTCAGGCTACTGATCATATTAATAAGTAATTAGCAAAATGCTACTCATTGTTCAGAGGAGTGAAGCAAGATGTTCTGGGGGCCTGGAACCAGCTTACTCACTGCCACCACACCCCCGCCTCCCACTTGCAGCTTCCAAACTAGGCTGCTGCTCCCTGCCTTAACACCCACTGTTGCTCCCCGGGATAGCAGCTGCCCTGATTGGTACACCCCCGCTGTCATCACCACTGAGGCATAAATCTTCCAGCATGAATTGTTGTAAAGAACATAGGTGTTAAAATTCAGAGATAGAAAAAAAAAAAAAAGTCTCAGTTTTTTAAAATCTGGCTGACAACAGTTTACTATTAAATCTCTCCCACGTGGTCAGTTCTATGGGAGATACTGAAAATCTATTGCCTGTGGAACTGTAGAATATAACCTAAAACTCTGTAACTGTGTAACAAATCGTATGCCATATATCTGGGAAGAAAACTATCAGCCCACTTGAAGCATCCAAGAAGGCTTCCTGGAAGGTCATGGGCAGCGGTGTAGCTCACCTGTAACCCTAATTTCTGGCAGTACCTGTTGGAGAACAAGCACTTAATAGAGTTGAGTTAAATATTTCATATTGTATCTTGAGTGTAGCTTTGAAAACTGATTGAGATTTGGATGAGAATAATGGAAGGGCCTACTAAACAAGGGACAACAGCCCAGGTTGTCACTTAAGCACACATGAGCATGGGGTGTGTTGGGGAGAGGGGACTGGCTGATGGACCATTTATTTCTATGTTATTTGTAGAAGTGACTGGAAGAACAATGCATGCATGTCTTTGACACCATGATGTACATCCGGCAAAGAAAAGAGGTAAAAACCACAGAAGTTTCTGAGGATTTTCCAGCACAAAAAGAAAATGTGAAGTTGGAAAATAAATTGTCTTCTGGTAGGTTATTTAAATTAAAGCAGTGTTTGGGATTGCTTTTATATATGCATATTAAAATTTCACTCTAATAGGGTAAAAACTAGGTGAGACTTAACTATTGAGKAACCTTGTTCCAGCACCCCTAATAGTCTGACTGCTATTAGATTATATTTGTTTTACAGTTATAATTAGATGAAAGAACTTTGATTAGAATTCTTCATGTGTTGTGTATTCATTAATTTGTGGTTATGCCAATCTGATTCTATGACTCTAGAGTAGTACTTTACCCATCATCCAGATTTTAGTTTATTCCTATTTTTCTGGTTTGTGAATGCTATTTACCATAAGCAGCCTACCTTGAATGAGTTTCTCATTTCATTAAAGTATTGAAAGATGAACAAAAATATTTTGTATTCTTTATTCACAGTTGAATTCCTGAAGTTGATCATTTTTGGAGAGGGGCAGGAAGAGTGATCAGAACTTGATRAAGTGTTCACATAATACAGAAGACTCACTAAGCAACACATCAGATAGCATTAATTGCCAACTTTTTGCCTTCTGAGTTGCCTTTCTAACTAAGAATGATTAGAATTTTAAAAGTAAACATGAAAAATTCCAAGCCTATTGGCCATTTTGAATATCTGACAATTTATATTCTTTGCAGCCATATCAATTCTTACCAGAGTTAGTATACATTTGAGAAAGCAGTTTGGTAAAATAAATGTGTATTGGGAGGTCTTGTCACTCAGCTCAGCTGTTAATATCTAATGCATTTTAGACAATACAGAGTAGTTGACCTTATGCAATGCAAATTCGAATTTGTTTATTTGTTTTACATTTAAACACAACTTTGAGGATTGTTTTTTTACTAAAGCAATATTTATTCACATCAGGAAAAAAAAAAACCTGAAAACTAAAGAAAAGTGGAAAAGGAAAAAACACTTCCCCAAACTCACCCATCCCAAGTCTACCATGGATGACCTGTTTAGCTTGTTCTTGGAATATGTACACCAATAAGCATTCATATTTACTTTTACAAAATTGAGACCCACATGCTGTTTTGAAAGTTGCTATTTTTCCTTATTATGTTATGAACATGTAAGTCAGACAATAAATTTTTAAAATTTAATTATTTATTTGTGGTACTGGAGATCAAACCAAGAAGTGCTTTACCACTGAGCTACATCCCCAGCAATTTTTGTTTTTTGGGGGGTTTTTTTGTTTGTTTTTTTGTTTTGTTTTGTTTTTTTGAGACAGGGTCTCACTAAGTTACTGAGGCTGGCCTCAAACTTGCAATCCTCATGTCTCAGCTGCTCGAATCACTAGAATTATAGGCATAATTTTAAAATATCATAGTGTATAATATTCCATTATGTAGCTGTACTTGTTGGTGAATATTATGATGGCTTTTTTAACTTTCTACTAATAAAAATAGAATTATGATAAATATCCTTTCTACTAATACAAATAGAATTATTATAAATATTTATTTAAAACTTTAATTATTTCCTTGAGGTAAATGCTTAGTCTTGGAATTCCTGGCCAAATGGTTTGCTCAATTAGTAGCTTTAATTCTTCTTGCCATATTGCATTTCAGAAAGGTACTAGTTCTTCTACCAGCAGTGTTTGAAAATGTCAACTTTTTTAAAAATACCCTTTCCAAACAAGAGTATTAACATTTGTAAGCTACCACATTGCCAAGTTTTGTATTGTTTGCTTTTGTTTTTGGTACCAGGGATTGAACCCAGGGGCATGAGGTTGGCTGAGGGGCCCTGATTCAACCACTGAGCCACATTCCCAACACTTTTTAGTTTGTTTATTTGTTTGTTTTTTAATTTTTTTATCTTGAGACAGGGTCTCACTAAATTGCTTTAGATTTGCAATCCTCCTGCCTCAGCCTCCTAAGCCACTGGGATTAGACACATGCACCACCCTGTATGGCTTAGCCGAGAGTTTTAAAAAGTATAGCTCATTGTTTTGATTTGCATTTCTTTAACACTAATAAATTTGAATGAATTTGAACATCTTCTCTTCAGTCTGTTACATTTATTGGCCATTTTTTTCTTTTGTGCATCTGTTTCCTACTAAAATATTAATCATTTTTTATTATCCCGAAAGTATCCAGTATTAAGGACATTTAAACTCTCTTAAATGTGCTATATTTTTTCTATTTTATATCTCCTTTAAGTTAGGAGGTTATTTTTTCTTTTTTTTTTAATTTTTTTTTTTTAATTTTAAGTAATCAAGTTTTTTTGCAAGGTTTTAATGTAGAAACTACAAATTATAAGTAGATCATCTAGAAGATTATTCACATCCTATACTTATAACCTATTTGTTCCTCCATTTAGCAGACTTTATATGTGAACCCTAGCTATTCACCTATGCCAGGCACAGGTCTTAGGCATTATAAATGAATAAAACAGTGTGCGTGGGTATGATAAACTCATATTCTAGTTGGAAAAATGAACTATTAGATATAGTGGGGTAAAAAATTAGAATGAAAATAAGCCAGGCACAGTGGTACATGCCTATGGTCCCAGCTACTTGCAAGGCTGAGGCAAAAGGATCAATTCAGGCCAGGAATTTGAGACCAGCCTGGTCAATATAGTAAGACCCCGTATTAAAAAAAAAAAAAAAAAAAAAAAAAAAAGAGCGAGAGAATGAAATAAGTCTGTGTCTGTGGCATCACAGAAAGGTGCCCTTAACTAGTTTCTGGGGATAGGGAAGCCTTCACCAGTGACAGGCAGCTGGAATTTAGCTTACTTTATAGTATAAAATACAGCTTTGAAATGCTAAATTCCTTATACTCATTTACCTGTTTGATTTTTCTAAAAGGTTGTGCCAGCCGAAGATTTTGGAAGATTCTGTCATTTACAATTGGAGGGACCATTGCCCTTTGCATTGGACTTCTTACATCTGTCTACCTTGCCACCTTACATGAGAATGATTTATGGTTCTCTAATATTAAGGTATGGGGTTTCTTTGTTATATGATTTACCCATCATAGTCTCCASTAGTTAGCCATGTGGATGAATGACCTAAGTCAAGATAGTTTTGACATAAAGGATCTAATCTCTTGGGAGGTTTGACTGTAGGTAAAAAAGGCTTGTGTTTGTTATTTTAAAATAACATATCAGAATTTTTATAATCAAATGAGTTCCCTTTTTTTTTCATTAACTTRCTGTAGTTATGCTTCAGTTACTCCAAACTACTAGTAATTTCAAACTATGAATTGTGAAGGTGAGGTAAATCATAAGTAACAATGTTCTTAAATACAAGAAAATACTATCATATATAATAGGGTTAAAAATTGTTTTGTGAACTTTTTTTTTTTTTTTAACTCAGGGGCACTTGACCACTGAGCCACATCTCTAGCCCTGTTTTGTATTTTATTAGAGATGGGGTCTCACTGAGTTGCTTAGCACCTCACTGAATTGCTGTGGCTGGCTTTGAACTCTCGATTCTCCTGCCTCCAACTCCCAACCCGCTGGGATTACAGCCCAGCTGTTTTGTGAACTTTTGATTTTGATTTTATGTATATAAGTTCAAACTGGGTCACAATAAAAAATGAATTTTTCCCCCTGTTGTTTGCAAAAGAAAAAAAAGAGAAAGTGTACCTTTTCTTTCTTTCTTTCTTTCTCTCTTTCTCTCTTTCTTTCTTTCTTTCTTTCTTTCTTTCTTTCTTTCTTTCTTTCTTTTCTTTCTTTCTTTCAACTGAATTCAGGGGCACTCTATCACTGACCTACATCCCCAGCCCTTTATTTTGTTTTTTTATCTTGAGATAGTGTCCTGATAAGTTGTGTAGGACCTAAGTTGCTAAGAGGCTGGGCTTGAACTTGGGATCCTCCTGCCTCAGCCTACTGAGTTGCTGGGATTAGAGGCATGCATGTACCACCATCGTGGCTGAGAGCCACTGTTCTAAACCATGGAGTTTTAATCTGGCCTCTTAATTATTTATTGGTACTTATGCTTCAAGCTTATTTTATAGAATTTTAAGAAATGTTCTACTTACTTAAGAAATATACCTAAGAGCATATTAATAGCTCACACTTGCCATGCTATAACTCATTATAAGAGAGTGAAGAGGAATTACAGATGTCAATAATGAAGAATCTGCAGATTAATTCTTTATTTAAAACTTTTGTTTCATGCACCCCACTTAACATAGTGCCTATATCTATGGCCACTAAGAGATGGAAGAGAAATAGTTATTAACTCAGACTTATTTATGTGGTATGGTGCTTCCGTTCTTTTTCCTGTTTTGTTTTATTGTTTTTGAGGCTGAATTTTACCAGAACTGCATCCAGACCACAAATAGTAAACTCTTACCTAAACCCTCCCCCAAAATGATGGTTCTGGAATACACCATCTTTTTAAGGATTGATTCTAAACTCAGGAACTCGGGTAGATTGGTTTCATTTCCTTCTCAGCTAACCATTCCCACATAAGTCTTTTGCTTCTGAACCTTTTAGTGAAAATTGCCTGTATGGTAGCATTGCTCGGATTTAAACGCCAAAACACTAAATATTTATATAGCTCTGTTAAATGAGGTCTGAAATATTTATGTCAAGGTAAATATAGAATGCACTCACTGGATTTCCATAGGGGAAACATTGTTATGTATTGGACAGCCATTTCACAGACATGCCTACCCATTTCTTTAGATGTTATTAGGTTTAAGAACCATTTCAAAATATTTTGTTGAAAGATTTAAAAGATATAAAGTTATGGATTCACACAACATGTTGCAAGATTGAAAGTAGTGCATTGTTGCTTTTAAGAATAATACTTTTGAAGAAAACAATGTAATCTTTTTAAAAGTCAGCCTTTCTCCATAGTTATGTTTTAATGTAACATGTGATCGATGTAGCTATAGATTTTGACTGGTAAACTAAATGCTTATGTATTTGAAGTTAACTTTAAAAAGCCAATGAGCCATCCTCAAATGTCATGGGCTCAGCAACCAATAGAATAGCGTTCGGTTATGGAGTCTGGAGTTAAAGCATCTTGTGTTGTGTGCTTTTAAAGTGTCTCAGAATTTTACATTTAAGGCATAAAGAGTAACATTTTATATTAAAAGTTACATTTCCCATTTGTTAGTGTACCTTGCTACATTCAATAAGGAATGTTCAGCATTACCTCAGAGTCTGTCTATGCATAACCATTCACCAAATACTGCTGCTGTGGTTTCTTAAAGGAAACCTTGTATGCTGTGCTATGATGCATTGTCACCTTGCTGCTCCACAAATAAGCATATGAGGAATAGCCTATGTATGTTAATAGTACCTTTATACATACAGCAAGGTGTAACCTTAAAGGTGGGGAATGTRCATAAACAATCAGTGATTTTGTTTAAAAATTGGTCAGTACTATTTCCTTTTCTGTGGTTTGTATGATTTAACTTTCATTTTAAACTGCACAGAATAAATTAAAATGAAAACAAAACAAAACAAAATCTGGCCACATAAATGGACCTTAGCATGTTTATACCTTTCTGATATTATATGCAATTTGGGGGAGGAGGCAGGGGAGCCATAATTTTCATTAAATTTTCATGAGGGTCTATGACTCCATAGACATTATTTTTTTAAACACTGTTTTATTCTGTCTCAACATTTCTAGAACTTCTCTTGATATTGTTTTCAGAACAAGCATATAACATTACACAAGGAAGATTACACATTGTCAGTGTTCTTGACCCAAACGTGCCTTGTTTTTGATCCAGTATATCATGATCTGTAATCTTGTGTACTAGCCATGTTCTACTCACTAGTTGCTTGCAGGGGTAAATAGTCATTTTCAAAGTGAAGGTTGGTCGTCCATGAGGATGTTCAAAAGCATAGATGCAGATCTAATGGCATTTTCAAAAGTGTTTCCTAAAATTCTTCGAGCTTTGGTCTTATTATGGGAATAAGTCCCCACAGAAGACTACCTTGAATGACACATAAYACCAATAACTTCTAGCACATTTGTTTTAAAAACTGATGGATTACTTTATGGGTAGAACATACATCTTTGTACATATTTTTATGTAAAAATTATCATAATAACAGAGAGTATTAATTCTTATCCTTCAGTAACACGTGGTTGGATTTTCTTGCCAAGAAAAATTTTACTCATTCATGTCTTTACAGTACAGCACTTATAAACAGATTCCCTACAATTAAGGAATGCAGTGCTTATCTATTAACATAGGTATTTTTGAACAAAGGCTGAAATATCCCTCTGTGAGTATATAGCCACAATAAATTGTTAGCAGCAGTATAGAAAAGAAGCATGTTGAAAGAGATCATATAACTTAATTATGAACTATAAGTTTATCTCTTTAACTTGAAGCTTATTAGTGGTCTTGCTAGTCTCCTTAAATAAGCATATTGCATTATCAAGAAACCTGAGCCTCCTTGATTTTTCTCTTTACTTTCACTGGGTTAAGGAAATCATTTTACTTTTACACAGTATTTATTGAGTGCCTACTCTGAGAACATTGAATTGAACTCTATAGGGAGCATGGAAGGAATAACAAAGACTTCTAAATTTGCCAGCAAATTTTCTAGTATAATAAATGAATTCAGTAAATATATATTAGGCACCTTACAGTGTGCCCACAGGCTCTTTCCTTATGGTAACAGTACCACTGACTAACAGTACCACTGAATAAGACAAGGCTTTGCCCCCAAGAGGCTTGCGCTCTTGAGCATACAGGCAAGTATCCAGACAGTTACAGGACATTCCATGTCAACAGTATGATGGATGGGACAGAGAACACTGGGAGCACAGAGGATGGGGCAGTCTGATTGGACTATGGGAGGACAGGAAAGGTTTTCTAGAGGAAATGGTGGTTAAGGAGACCTGAAGCATGAGTTAACAAGGCACACTAAGGAGGAAAGGTGATTGTCATAGAAGAGAGCCATTTACAGGAAATCCAGAGGCCAGAGAGCCTGAATGTTGGATGTTGGCCATAGTGCAGCAAGCCTGAATAGATGAGGATAGACCAGGATCACAAAGGGCCTGTGCTTTGTGTCCCAGAGAAAGAGCTCTGAATAAAGTAGTGAGCCCCATTTTAGTGATGTCATCATTTTGGTATTTTAAAAGGATGGCTCAGGCTACAGTGTGGAGAGTAGATTTGAAGAGGGCAAAACAGAAGTCAGAGGAAGCTGCTGAGATATTCATGTTCTGCAGATTCAGTAAGATCTGAATATCCAATTAAGGTATTCAGTAAATGGTCATCTTCTGTKTGCCAGATATTCTTCTAGGCCCTGGAAATACAGTATTGAATATGATGTGGAACTTAATTCTGACAAGGAAGAAAAAAAATCAAAATAAAAATAAGCTATGGTGGAAATCAAACAGGATGAGATGGTTGCTAGACAGCTGCTTGGAACTGAAGAGTGAAACAGACCACTTCAAGGATGAGGCACGTCCTAAATGTTGAGGAGCAGCAAGGCAGAGACCTGTGAGAACAGTCAGAGCAGAAGAAACAGCAAGCCGCAAGCCTTAATGTAGGAATAAATTCAACAAGTCTAGAATCAGAGAGAAGGCACCTGTGGCCAGAATTCTATGAGCAATGAGATGAGTGGTACAGGAAAGTCAAAAAGCCATCATGTTGGGTGTCATAGCCTGAAGGGAACTGGAGAGAAGTGACTAGAACTGAGACTTCTCAGTTAGAAGGATGTGTGATTCGGTGCTTATGTGGGAGGGGATTCAGAGGGAGGAATGGCCCATGACAGCCTGCTTTGTACCTTGAGCTGCTGGGTAGATGGATGCACATGTCATTCGCTGTGACAATGAACACTGTGAGGAGCTGTTCTGGAGAGTGCAGTGACTTATGACTCCAGCCACTCAGAGTTAGGACAAGCTTCACAGAGTCCACAAAACTGCCCCCACTTCAGATAGTTTGGAGGTCCAGGTGACCCTCAGTTCTGAACAGCTATCAATCTGTAATTCACTAGAACAACTCTGGAGAACTTGG